CATAATAGAATATAGAATAATAGAATAGAATATTATATAATAGAATAAATAATATAGAATAGAATAGAATAAATAATATAAAATACTGTAGAATAGAATAGAATAAATAATATAGAATAAATACAATAGACTATAGAATAGAATTACTTTATTGATCCCAAACTGGGAAATTGTGGCGTTACAGCAGCAGGTTGTCCAAACACACAATATGAGCAAAAAACACAATGTTAGCAAATTTAAACACAATATAATATTAAATACAAAGTAAATAAGCACTAAAAATATCAAAACTAAGAATGGGAATATATACAACCAGGATTTAACTAAACATTACTAGTCTTAAATATGAAAGATTAAATGTAAATGTGTAAAAACAGAGTTGTAAATGGTTGTCACTTGTGCCTTTGTATTTGTAATTTGTCTTTTATTTGTAATTTGTCTTTCTCTGTTACCTGCCTAGGGACAACAGATGGAAACTAGCACATCTGCTATAATCTGGCATTTTTACAGCTGTTCATTAATATTCACTGTCCCTAACAAATAAATAAATTAATAAATCATTTAGTCAACGTAATGTCAGACAGAAGCCAAAAATGATCATAGATAGATACTTTATTTATGCTGGTGGAAACTCAATTCATCAAAATGACTCAAGGCCATAAGTGACCTCTTTTAATTGATTCTTTCAATGTCAAACCAACAGAACAAAACTCCAGACTCCTCATTGACTGACAGAGAAAATGAAAAATAATGATCAGGTCTTTCAAAAGACATCTGGAGTAGTCAGCCCGTGGGAAAAAGTATCAACGCACTCTAGTTCAGAAATGGGCAACTTTGGTCACAGCCAGGGGGCCAAATTGTCAAATTTAACTCAACATATAACAATGATCAAATATTATTATGGACATATTTCTGGTTTTCATGATTTCATGGCAGATTTTGTCATGTTTTCTTCATGGTTCAAAATAATTGATATGTAAAAATTGACCTGAGGGCCACGTTGAGGGTTGATGGGGGCCGCATGTGGCCCCTGCTCTAGTTTAAATAATCTGGGAAACTGTTACCTGCAGTCTTTCTCTGTCTCCCTGCCTCAGTGATGATTTAGTAGCTCTGTTTTTACCCACTAATTATCAATATGTATTCTATACAGATTATCTATAATGTGTGTTGTGATGCGTCCCTCTGTACTTCAGAGCTTTTTTGTCTCACACTTAAACGCTGACATGTTATAGTGACGTGAGAACGCCATTTTACTAAAACGACTCGTCCGGGTGCTGGATCTTAATTTAATATTGTCTCTCAAAAGGCATTGCTGTCCACGAGGGAGTGAGAGTCAGAAAGGAAGCTAAGGGGAAAATGGGTCAACTTTTATGCTTTGGCTCCTTTTACAGGTGTCACGTTGCCACCGGTGTTTTCTGAAGCAGCCTGTAATATGATGATGACCATGTTAGTGTCGTAAAATTCTTCTGAAAGCCCTGAATTATATTAAGAAAGCTGTAATGAAAAAGTAACAAATAATTGATTTTATAATTATGGGGCAGTTAACATCATTTTGTTTGATTCATGGTTTGAGCTCTTACTGGTCTGATGTGACTTATCATTGTGTCCATGAAGTTTAAGACAGGTTCCTCACTCTCAATGTCAACATTTGTTTCAAGTTCATTATCTCTTCTTTTCCTCGCTAGAATCAGAAAGCGTTTCACACTGAACCGTCAGCCATGGCTAACCAACAAATGGACATCATCACAAAGGTGTTGGAGCAGTCGGCCAAGCTGGTGGAGGAGTCGGTGGATGCACAGTTGAGCAAACTGAACGACATGGATGAAGATGATTTGGACAGACTGAAGGAGAGGCGGTTAGAGGCTCTGAAAAAAGCCCAGAAACAGAAGCAGGTATGTTGGATGATTTTCTTTAACACACTTTCAGCTGTTGTCTGATTAACTTCATTCATACTATTTTACTGCTTAAAACTTTTAAAGCAGTTTGAATGATGGTGTCGTGTTTAGTAAATTCTCTCTTTAAGCATGTGCAACATTTATAAGGCAACATAAGCACCCACTGCAAAATAATATTGAATTTATTTTATCAAGTATGAATCCAAACACCTGCTGTTGGAAAAATAGAATAAAAAGTATTTTTTGGATGTTCTTTACTAAGAAAGGATCAAGCTGGAGTCCTAGAATGTCTTATATTGTGGACTTTAATTGTCAATTGTGCAACTTAATAAGACAGAAACAAACAGAATAGAGAGTTTTATGAGGACCAGTTTAGTGATTGTAGTTTTTGGAAACAATCTAATTTCATCCAAAGAACACAGTGGGTAACCTGAAGTCTCGAGTTGGTACAAAATTATTTTGCTTCTTTTTTTTTTTAATATCCCAAATCAGTCAACCGTATGTTGTGATTGTTCTAGACTATATAAAAAAAAAAAGCTTTCCTCCTCCTTTGTCATGTATTGTCCTGCTGCTAATCGTTATTCTGTTATTAGGAGTGGTTGTCTAAAGGCCATGGCGAGTACCGAGAAATCCCAAGCGAGAAAGAGTTTTTCGGCGAAGTCAAGGACACCAAGAATGTCGTCTGCCACTTCTACAGAAACTCAACGTTCAGGCGAGTGCAAAGCTACAATAAATGTTTATCTACAGAGACATTTGACCAGTTAGTCAATAAAAGCATAGATTAATTAACCTGCAAGAACACTTATTATTGATTCAGTGTTTCAGATTTTAAGCTGATAACATTTCCTGATTTAAGCTTTGCAAATACAAAGTGTATTTGTTTTTGAGCATTGTAATGTAGTAAAAGAAAACAAGAAGTTTCTAAAAAATCACTCCAGGCTTGTGTACTACAGAATTTAACAAACATATGCAGTTGCTGCCCTTGTTGAGTTATCTTCACCAAGGCAGAGCATGACAGCCAAAGACTCAGCGCTCTAACATACTCGCCATCAGCGATGCAGTCCATCATATTATTTTAGTAACATTACATTGATCTCATTTTGTATGTTCGATCTTTTCTTTCAGTTTAATTTGTTTCTCTGTGAGGGTTTGTTGTCATCAGGGTGCTTACCTTGTCGGTCTGTCCTCCCTGTAGATGTAAGATCCTCGACAAACACTTGGCCATCTTGGCAAAGAAGCACGTCGAGACCAAATTCCTCAAACTGAACGTGGAAAAGGCCCCGTTTCTGACAGAGAGGCTTCACATCAAGATCATCCCCACGCTGGCTCTGCTCTTGGACGGAAAGACAAAGGACTACGTCGTGGGCTTCACCGACCTGGGAAACACAGACGAGTTTCCCACAGAGATGCTCGAGTGGAGACTTGGCTGTGCAGGTGTTATCAACTACAGGTGAGACATACAGCACACTGCCTCAGTTAGTATCTCTCAAGCAATCGGAGCTGCAGAATCCCAGGATTGTGCCACTAAAACTGTGACTTTGTGTTCTCTTTCTAGTGGTAACCTGATGGAGCCTCCTACAGTGAACAAGAGGTCGGGCACAAAGTTCACAAAGGTGGAGAAGAAAACCATCAGAGGGCGGGGCTACGACTCGGACTCAGATTCAGATGACTGAGGAGAACCAACAGTCGTCTGGTTCTCTCTCAGGGCTACCTCACTTTCAAAAAAAGTCTAGCAGACAGCCCGCTTTGATTTTCCTCCCCCCCCCTCTCTCTCTCTAAGTGACTTTACCTATTTCTACAAATTTTCATATTTTGATTTACCATATCTCAAATCTAATTATTTTATTATAGCTGTTAGCATCTTTGTTTCAAACTTATTTAATGAATTGTCTCCCCATCTTTTTATATTTGAATACATCAGAGAAATGAAACATGCATTTCCAGAACAAGGTAACATTTACCGTCAGTTTGTCGAGGATACAGAAGGTGTCGATGAGCTACTGCGTCGATTATGTATCAACAAGCCTCTAGCTTCATTTTGTTTTTGTTTGTGTCTTTTCATGGTTGAAATTTAAACCTCTGTCATCAAATACCGTTGCAAATAAACATTTGTGTGTATTCAAGTGTAGAAATCTGTTAACACACATCAGGAAACATGCATTCTGTCTTTGTGTGTATACATGCTCCCTCTGGTTTTTCCTCTTTCTAAATCATCCCATTTATTTTTCACCATACTTTTTCTTGTAGCAGCATCCTGAACTGTAAGAGGTGGAGTTTGCCAACGTGTTGCAATAACAAATCTGTCTTATCAGAGCTTGGATTAAAGGAACCGAGCTCAAGGTCCCAATAATTCTAAAATAGTCAATTGGTGCTTCTTGGGAGGTGGAGAAAAGGACATTTCTGGCTGTAATTCTGAATGGATTATAAAATGCTAAAAACGTGTTTCAGTGAGGCTACATCATAGCAAGGAAGTTCCTGGTTTGAGACCAGACTGTTGGCCAGGGTCTCTATATAAACTTTTCAGGTTCTAATGTCTGATATATTTCTTTTCAAGGTCCAGCGATGTGCAGGTTTGGTTAGTTTGGGACTCTACATGGTTCATGACGACTGGGATTAGTTCCTGCCCATGCACCACTCTAAAGAAAATGCATATATTGTTTATGGATGTATATGCACGCTGTGTGTAGTAGTATGAATTACAACACAGCTTCATCCTCAAATGCTAGTAGCTGTTAAAACCACGCCTAACAAAAACTAAATTGATGGTTCGGCTCAACAGAAAAGATCTGTCGCTACAAAGTACACAAAGTGAAAAGATCCAGGCTGCTTTTTCAAACAGTTTCTTATTTCATTAATCATGTTTACTAAAGAAACTGTAAAACTTGTGTTCTAATTGACATTTACTGATGGGACGAGAGAACTAACTCGCCTCCATTACTGAAGAGAGAGAGGGCCCTAGTTGGCTGACAACTTTGCTACTGAGTTTGATTGAAGCATTTTCTCACCCTCTTTGGAGTCTTAAGTTAAATACCTCTAAAACAGGCATCATGCTAAATTGTAGCTCTCATTCAGTTTAGTAAAATCAGAACAGAAAACAAGGGAGTAGATGATTTTCCATGATATTTTATGAACATTGAAATAATAACACACGATTGAAAGCAAAGCTAAGATTCGATAGCTTTTGGTTCGACGGGTTGAAGAAGACGTCGAACAATCAGCTCTCCTTTGCTGTTGATGTAGGTGTCGGCCATGTCCTCTTCAGCGGGGAGTCCATAGGGAGTCTTCAGCGGCTGGATCCTGAATGCAGCAGGACAGAAAGGCATTCAATTACACAAACAGTCCCTTTAATAATTAGACAAATAACTAATTGTATTATATAATGTTCTTGAAAAACTGTTTCGGTATCAGGACAAAATGCTCCCCCTCCTTTCTGTGTAATTGTCTTACCTTACAAGATGTTTGACAAATTTCAGTTGGCTGTTGACTGCAGGTGTGTTTTTGTGAATCACAGGTACATGTGCCTAATTACGACAAAGAGAGAACAGCGTCAATGCAAAAGAGAAATCAAAAACTGAGCGCTTTACGAGTCCAGTTACATTTCTTCACTGCTCTATAGTAGACTCATGCTAAACTGTTTCAGGTGACACAACCATAGATCAGGGGTGCAAACTTCTCACCTTTCGGCGAGATTTGCCGTTTTGGATCCCAAATAGGTGATTTGTGTGATTAATTTAGATCAATTTGTTCTGCAACTTCATCCCATTTCTAAAAAGTGACTGAAGGTTAGGAGCATCATGGGGTTCTTCATGTTTCACTGAAGCTTTATCAAAAAGTTAAAACAGAACATAGATATCAACAAGCAATTGTGTTTTTCTTATTGTTTGCACTGCTTCTTTAGTCTGAATGATAAAATCGTCTGTAAATTCACATTTTAAAGCTGATATTTAAAAAAAAAAAAATCTTCCCGGGGGAGCATGACCCCGGACCCCCCCTAGGTGGTTTGGATCCATGTCACCTTTTTCATCCCTGATGAGTTTGCGCCCCTGATAGATGAATATTTTATGGATTTTATAGTATATTACCAAGTTGTGGTAAAAGTTTAACCCAAACCAGTAAAACTTTCAATAACTAATCAATGCTTTGACCACAGTTTCATGAGTGTTATGTTATTGTCACGGAAAGCCCCAACTCCGACACATTTTAACGCCAAAACATTCTTGAAAATGCATTTCATCAGAGACATTTACGAAAGCCCTTGAAAGTATTTTTGTTTTCCACAACTTTTCTTGATTTTTCTCCCGTTCTTCAATTATTCAGAGTCGACGTCTAAGCAAAAAAACGAGAAGGCAGACTATGCTGTATATAACGGCGTTCCTGAATATGAAGCCGCTGAGGGACTGAGGTTGGGCCTGATGTATTTGTCCGACGCGCTTTCAAAAGAATACTGAGATACGCAAAAATAAGTTTGACTTTTTTATTAACGTAAAAAAGATAACCAACTTAACTTATAATAACGTGCATTAACTCATAATCAGTGTTAGTACAAATTTTCATGAAATTCATTAATCTTGGTAACTTCATGAAATGTATTATTCAAGTCTGTCTACCACATGTTAGCACTCCTACCTTTAGGTGTCTGAAGCTGTAACCTTATATGAGCGAAGCACCTAAGTAGTAGCAGATCTATAAATGGAGAGGAGCCAACTATATGTTGTCAGCAACTGTTTGCTAGACAGAGAGTCTACATCTGTTAGTATACAAATCAGTGTCATGTCATCTTCATTGTTTATGGTGATGCACCCAAATAGAAAGGAATTTGTGGGTTGCACCTTTTTGACAGAATATAAGCAGCACTGTGAACACTGTTACTTTGTCAGCACTTTGTCAGTCAAGTGATTTGGAAGCATGCTTGTTTGATGAAGTTGTCTGACCTCGGCCGATTAAATTGTGTTCTAATCTCCAGTCTGTTTCACGATTTCTTCATTGGATTTATACAAACAGAAACAACCCCCACCTAACACACAGTGAACTAGTAACAATAGCGGTCAACAAAAAATACAGCAACCCAGCTCACCCCCTCTCTTCCACTGAGAACAAAAGGTGAACAGGTGAGTTAAATCAACACATCTCCGCCCATACCCATGTGACCCAACATCCCCTCTCTCAACACAATCCTAATAAATGATAGAATAATCAATAACCCAAAACACCTATATATAACAAACTACCTTAACCTTAAATAAATAGCACAAAGACATTTATACCAATCCATGACTCCAACACTGTAGAGCTCTAACAAACACAAAAGCCTTACCTTGTCAAGCCCAAGGGTTTTCACCATTTCTTTCTCCCAGTACGGCCTTCTCATTACACTTTTCACTCGTGTCACTATGTGCAGTTTATGTGGTTGGTCTGGATCTCCTCCATATTTCTCATGTTCTTTGGATCTCTCTGCGAAAAGCTGCGAAGAATAAACACAGAGTCTTTGGAGTAAATGAAATAATACAACGAGGCATTTTAATCACTCTAGAACAAGACAGAGCTTCACCCATCAAAATTTGCCAAAACCAACATGAGAACAACATAAACTACATTTACTAAGTGGTCCTTGAAAAGACTATCCCAGACGTTAAGGTGAATAATAAGAATGCATCTTGGTAGTCAGTGTGCTTGAGTTTTACAAATTACTCAACAAATCTGGAATATATTAAATCACACTGAGCTAAATGACATGAAGTGGCCTTTGCCTGTTTTCTTACCTCTGGTGGGATTCTTGCTTTTGTGAATTTGCTGCGTGCAGACACAAACCATGAACAAGGCGACAAAAGTGTTGTTTCTGTCAGAACCTGTAAAGATACACAAAGAGTTAGGAGACCAACTCTACAATTCACTGAGCAGACTCTTTTCTCCAAAGCGACGTACATCAGAGAGTAAGAACAACACAAGCAAGGATCTAGAAAAGAGGGAACAATGTAAGTAAGAGCAAACGATCAGCTTTGAGTCTGATTGGACACACAGGTGCTGACAGGAAGTGACCAGAGGCAAAGCACAACACTGAGGGCAGTTCTTGAGAGCTCTAATCAGTATAGAAACCATCTTATAAGTCGTCGTTATCTAACAAAAACCATCGTCATTACCATCATCATCATCAATAATATGGAGACCATCATCATTAAGTTAGTAGGTATTCATGAAAGAGCTGGGTCTTTAGCTTTTTCTTAAAGGTGCAGAGGGACTCAGTAACAAAATACCACAAGCTAGAAAGCAGATCATGTTATGTAATAAAAAGGACACAAATACAGTGTGTCCTGTGGAATTGGGCCACATGATTTAAGACAACATACATTTGTCAAACATTGGATTGTCTACTTCAATATTTCTAGAGGAAATAAATTAGCTGGGTAGCTTGAATTTTGAGCAAAATCTTGGAAACAATATGCAAAAGTAATTCAATTCGTCAGATAGAAATTATTCTCTATGAAATAATGTTCTTACTTACTTTACTTCTTACTGTCCTTTTATTTATGCTCTTATCTTAACTCCTCTTATGTTTTAACTTGGTCATTTCTTATCTTACTTACTTTGTCTATTTATATTTACCTTTTATTGTTATTAATATTATAGGTTTTTTTTGTTTTTTAATCCTTTAATCACTTGTTTCTATTTCTTTTCCTGCTCTTACCTTCTTATTGCTGTTATCTTTTTATTTGCTTTTAGCTCTTTTAGTTTCTTACTCTTTTTAAATCTTTGGTTCCTCTTGGTCTCAGCTCGTGTTGTTGGGTTCTTGTGTTTCCTGGGTTTTTATTATGGTTCTTGTGATGGTAATAGTGATGGTTCTAGTGATGGTAATAGTGATGGTTCTAGTGATGGTTCTTGTGATGGTTCTAGTGATGGTGCTTGTGATGGTTCTTGTGATGGTTCTAGTGATGGTTCTTGTGATGGTTCTTGTGATGTTCTTGTGATGTTCTTATGATGTTCTAGTGATGGTTCTAGTGATGGTTCTTGTGATGGTAATAGTGATGGTTCTTGTGATGGTTCTTGTGATGTTCTTGTGATGTTCTTATGATGTTCTAGTGATGGTTCTTGTGATGTTATAAGTCGTCGTTATCTAACAAAACCATCGTCATTACCATCATCATCATTCAATAATATGGAGACCATCATTCATAAGTTAGTAGGTATTCCATGAAAGAGCGTGGTCTTTAGCTTTTTCTTAAAGGTGCAGAGGACTCAGTAACAAAATACCACAAGCTAGAAAGCAGATCATGTTATGTAATAAAAAGGACACAAATACAGTGTGTCCTGTGGAATTGGGCCACATGATTTAAGACAACATACATTTGTCAAACATTGGATTGTCTACTTCAATATTTCTAGAGGAAATAAATTAGCTGGGTAGCTTGAATTTTGAGCAAAATCTTGGAAACAATATGCAAAAGTAATTCAATTCGTCAGATAGAAATTATTCTCTATGAAATAATGTTCTTACTTACTTTTACTTCTTACTGTCCTTTTATTTATGCTCTTATCTTAACTCCTCTTATGTTTTAACTTGGTCATTTTTAATCTTACTTAGTCTATTTATATTTACCTTTTATTGTTATTAATATTATAGGTTTTTTTTGTTTTTGTTTTTATCCTTATTCACTTGTTTTCATTTCTTTTCTGATGGTTCTTGTGATGCTGTTCTCTTTGATGTTCTTTGGTCTTGTGATGGTTCTTATGATGTTCTTGTGTTTCTTTGATGGTTCTTCTGATGGTTCTTGTGATGGTTCTTGTGTTTATGATGGTTCTTATGATGGTTCTTGTGTTGGTGCTTGTGATGGTTCTTGTGATGGTTCTTGTGATGGTTCTTGTGATGGTTCTTATGATGGTTCTTATGATGGTTCTTGTGTTGGTTCTTATGATGGTTCTTATGATGTTCTTGTGTTGGTGCTTGTGATGGTTCTTGTGATGGTTCTTATCGTGCACTTTGGGTTCTTTTCTGTTGAATTGTATTTAATTATTTTGAGTATTTAGTATTTGTTATGTTCTTGTTGTTGTTTATGTTCTTCTGTGTTTGGTTTAGTTTGTTCTTGTTTTTGCTGTTTGTCAAAGCACTTTGTAAACCTGTGTTTTTAAAAGGTGCTATAGAAATAAAGTTATTATTATTATTATTATTATTATTTCATCATTAAGATTAGTATATTGTTGTTGTTGTTTACAAATATCTTCCTCAAAGATTAAACATAACAGAGGTTGTTACATTAGTTTAGCCTTACAGGGCTCCATTTCAAGCTGTAAAATAAGAAACACACTTCTTACCTTGACAGGGAATAGTCTCAATCCACGACACACACCTGACATTTTAATATTTCAGTAGAGGAACCAAAAGAAACACCGAAGAGCCCTCGTCCGTGCTGCAGTCATTCAGGCCAAGGTTACAACCTGCAGGACGCGTGGAGCGAACTCTGCTCAACGTTGTTTTAAAAAGATATAAATCACCAATTTAATCAATATTCACATCGTATTCAAAGCGTCGACTCGTAACTAAATGATTAAGAAGCTGAAAACACAACCGTAAACTCACTATCACGGTTTAAATCGTGGTAGTTTTCTCTCACTAACCCCACCGGAAGCGAAACTGTGCCGGGGACAACAAATGTTCCTCGTACAAGGTTCCTAGAGGGATTTATTTTAAATTGAACATCTAATCATTTTATTCTTTATTTCGAACGATTAAAAAAATAGATGAAAAAGAAAATGAATAAACAAATGGAAAAAAAAATCTGTATAAAAATAAATAAAATCAAAAAAGCCAATTTCAATATAATACACATTTGACTCGTTCGAAAAGGGAACAAGTCCTCCCCCCATTCGTCACCATTAACAAATGCAAAATCCAATGAAATAATCTAAGATTGAATAATTTCGTTTTATTTAAAAATAAAGGGTTAATATATGACAAATATTTGTTTCATTTATTTATTTATTTGAACTGTCCCTATCTAAGCATCAAGGTCCACACGTCACATTTACGTTTCTCCGGGGATTTGTTTTGGTGGCGCACACGTCAGCAACCAAGTTTTAAGAAGGTGGTTTCGCTTCTTTCGGTGGCTCTGCTGGCTTAGAATGAGAAAGAATACGCTGTGATTGTTTCTACTGATGAGTAAGAAGACAGAACAATGAGCCAGAATCACGTGTCAGGGATGGAGACCTCTGCTGTCTCCGTCCTGAAGCGGGCGGTGGAGTTGGACCAGATCGGCCGCTTCCAGGAGTCTCTGGTCTGCTACCAGGAGGGAATCCAGCTCCTCATGGACGTATTGAAAGGTCTCTATCTCCAGCATTTAAATATACTGTAGAGGCTTTATGATAAGGGCATTAACCAACACGTGTTGTTGTTTCCATCCAGCTGTGAAGGATGAGTCAAAGAGAGGACACTACAGGGATAAGATTAAAGGCTACATGGACAGAGCAGAACAAATCAAAGTTCATGTGAACCAGATGAAAGAAGGTAATGAACATGAACACTGGACGACTGTAAGCAAGAGTCAAAGCGACCTCTGCAAGGCATGTGTGCATTTACAGAGGTGTCAGAAGTATTCTCAGTCATGACTCAGGTAGAAGTTTAAATTCTGAGGGTTTAAAAAGACTTCTGCAGAAATATCAACTCAAGCTTTTTACTCAAAGTGTAAAAGTACTGGTTTCAAAACTACTTAAATTATAAAAGTAGAAGTAATGTAAAGGGGGGGATGCCATTATGGGCGAAAGCTTAGTTTAGTTTAGTTTAGTTTATTTGCACACATTTCTTGAAAGAAGAATCAAACAGAAAAAAATAAAAAATAAAATAAATAAAACACGTGCAGGTGAGGTAGAAACCCATGAGGACTTATCTCAAAACCTCACCTTAAGAGATTAAACAAAGTTAAAATAAAATACAGTAAAAAAAAACTATAATTTACTCTCACAAATAAATTGACCCCAATTGAAAATTACAGACAAACATTGAAAACATAAAAATAAAACAAAAACAGGACAAACAGTCTGTAGACAATATAACAAAATCAGGACAATTCACTATTCACTACAAATCTTTCTGACATAGGCTGCGTCACAGGGGTCTATCGTGCCCACCTCCCCAAAAAAACATTTTTCTAAAGGTCATTATGACTATAATGTTAATGTTGAAACATTTGGGATGCACCTGTTTCAGCCGCATTTATGCCCATTGACAACGAACACATTTTAGAACAATACAAATACATTAAAGAACCATATTTGTGTTTTTTTGAACGATGACAAACCGGAATGAAATCGGAGTAACGAGGCTATTTTTAAAATGTAAGGAGTAGAAGAAAAATAATTACTCCAGTAAAGTATAGATACCCAAAATTTCTACTTAAGTAAGGTAACAAAGTATTTGTACTTAGTTACTTGACACCTCTGATCATTTATTGCAATTGTGTAATGTTATAGAGTGTGTCTAATATCGTATGATTCATGTTTTGCATATTAAAGTTCCCTGGTTCAAAGGTTACTTCGACCTTCTTGGGACCTCCTCTGTATCTTTTCTCTTTCTGTGTTCCCTCTCCTGTCAGATGGGAAGTACCACGAGCAGATTAAAATAGCAGAAGATGCTACTGGTTACAGCTATGAGGCTCTTTTCAAGCCGTACATCAGCACTTTACTCACAGAGGTCTGGGTTCAGGACCCGTACATACGGCACACACACCAAGTAAGATCTTTGTTTTCATCAGAGGATTTTCTCTCCGTTTCCAGCTGGATTTGGATCATTTTTCTTTATAGTTACCTGATCAATACAGAGCTGTATTAGTAATTGGAACAGCCAGATACTACGCCTTTTATTTAAGTTTATTAGTTTACTTAGAATTAGACTTAGACTTTCTTTATTGACATTCAAACTTGTACTTTACAGTGCAGATAAGAACGAAATTTCGTTGCATTTGGCTCGTTGTAGTGCAGGATAAAAAACAGCAGCAAGTATTTACATAGAAAAATAAGGTGCAGATATAAATAGATATAAAAACAAAAGCTATGAGTAAAATTACTATACAGATAAATATATTACACGTTTGTGATGTATGTTATATTATATTTAACAGTCCAGTGAGACAAAAGGTTAAGGAATTATTTGTACTTTTGTTTACTTAAATATGTGAATATAAACTTATCAAAGGCCATCTTTAAGTCTTTATAGCAGTCCTGTGTTAAAAATTATTTAGCATGTTTAATAGTAAATGCTGTTAAATTACATCACAAATGTTACGTCATAAAATTGTTAGTTTTGTCTGCAAACTTTTAGAATTCTGAAACCATTATGAAAAATAGTCGTCAATAATTTGGGAAAAACGACTACTCTTAATAATCAGTGAGATGAATGATCATTTATAAAACACATGAATCTAAGTTGGCCTTAATTCCCTGTAAACTTCTGTGACATGACAGCTGCCTGATCATATCCTGTAAACATTAAAAGTCTAGTTGTTTTGGAAGTTGTTTTTTGGCGTTATTGGAGGAAGTGTTGGGAGGAGAGAGTGGGGAATGACATGCAGATTTGAACCCGCTAACGCTGCAACAAAGGACATTATCTACATGAGGCGTGCAACATTTCCATTAGGCTCTACAGCGCCCCTTAACTTCAACATTTTATCGATTAAAAGAGTTTAATTTCATGTAAACCCTGATTGCTTTCTGCGTTGCATAACCCAAAAAATACGACTGAATTGTCTTTTTTTTTTTCTTGCCCTTTTTACTTTTTAAAATATTTTTAACTGAACTCAAAGTTAATTCTAACGTCAAAATGTGCCAAACTCAACACAGTCAAACAAACCTCTTGGCCTTCTCTCCTCCACAGTTGTACAACTTCCTGCGGTTCTGTGAGATGCTGCTGAAAGCGTCCTGCAAGGTGAAAAAGATCCATCTGCTGACGTCACAGGACGAGGTGGGTTATGTCGTTCAGTAGAGCACGCGATGCATCGACTACATGGCAGCAGTCACACCTGTGTTCAGTCTGCTCAGTTGTTTCACTACCTTTCATTGTGCCTGGCAGACGGATAGCGGCCAGCAGAGCAGCGCCCTGGCTGAGCTGAAACAGAGCGTCGGTGCTCAGGGAGTGACTCTGGATCTGCAGTACTCCTCCACTATACACGACAGGGAGATCAGGTACTGTTGATCTGAGCCTACAGTGTCAAGGAGAATCATATTTTAGCTGTAGTACTACACTCCACTGTGATCATAACTTTATTTTATGGCAGTAATTTAAACAAAAGTGTTTTCAGATTTGATAATGGATGGATCATAAAGATAGGCAGAGGGCTCGATTACTTCAAGAGGCCTAAGGTGAGACTCTATACTTTACTTTATTTATATGCATTTTTTCTTTTGCTATATCATTAGAACTATAGGGCAGATTTTCTATGAATCAACATGTTGACATTTGTTCACAGTTTCTGTTCTTCTGCTTTTTAGGGAAGATTCTCTATTGGATATTGTGACTATGACCTCAGACAGTGTCAGGAGACCAATGTAGACATCTTTCACACCAAACACACAAAAACACTTTAAGATTCAGAAAGCTTTAATTCCTGTATTTCTTTTACATCTCAAGTGACTTACCTTAAGTACCTGCCCTCAAAACACAGACATACCTGTTGTGTTGTTGGATTTGTCCTAACACACAGGTGCATGTGATCAGCCTTAAACGACTGTGTAACTTAGCAATGCTTTTAAACTATGCTTTTTTTTAAACACTGCTATGACTTCGATTAAAAAAATGTTTTTTTTTTAAATCTCCATGTCTAAGGGGTAATATGTCGGAAATGTCCTCGTGCAGTTCATGCAAAGACTTGTTTCTTTTTCTTTCTTTCTAAGGCTTCCTCTCCTTTTTGTAACTTTTCTCTAAAATTGGGTGGTCCATAATGTCTAAAGGGGGTAAATGTTTTTTTAAGGTGGCCTAACACCATCTAGTGGAAGAACAAATGTAAACGTTTTTTTAAACTGTTATTAAAAAGTGCTTTGTAATAAAATAAAATATTGGTTTTATTATTAAAATTTGGCTCTGGAGTTATTTTTTTATAAATTAGTAACTTTTTTTCCCATTCTGCCTTAGGCCTCTGTTCAAGACGTACAGAGGATCAAAATGTTGTTTTTTCCAGATCTCAGCATTGCAGAGAAACAGAATGACAACAAACACAACTGACAGAAATTGTAAAAAAAAAAAAGAAGCAATCTCAGTACTACATTTTCTAGAATTAAAGATTATGTCTTAAAATACAGAAAAAAAAAGTAGACTACGCTGGGGTATTCCCAGGCCCCAGTGAGAAACCATTCAGGTAGCTGCTGCTTGTCCAGAACTCTTCTCAAAAACACAGAAAGAGGAGCAAATATCCATCACTGCAATGGCTTCCTGCATGAATAGATTTGAAAATCATATAACTGGTCCAATGAGCACCAAATGGTCTTGGACATAAATACATATCTCGTTTACTTGTACTGTGGGAAAAACATCCAAATCCCTCAGGTGAATCAGGAGGTTAAAAAAAACATTAAATTCAAACAAATCGAAACTCGTTGCTCCTATGCTCCCCACATGTTGGAAAGGTTTAGGGTTAGGGTTACTACAACTGTCTCAATTAAATGAGGGCACAAAGCATTATTGGTCATTTTTGCAGTTTCCTGGATAGCACATTATTATGAGCAATTAAACAATAAAATACAGTTAAATTATTTTCAGTGTGCCACAGATTATTGATTTATTTTACACTATAAAATAAAACCTTTAGGTGGCCTTGTTGTAATTGATTTTGTTAGTATGATTGATACCTGCATATTCCCATATATAACTAAACAAAAGTACAAGCAATTCATTCACCTTTTGTCACACTGTAAACTAATAACCTCCAATCAAAGGTGCAGAAACTGTTGTTTTTTTGTCATTTCTAATAGAGCCCTGTATTGATCAGGTCACTATAAAGATAAATGATCCAAATCTACCTGGAAACAGAGAAAAAAACTCATTTTAGAAATGACTATTAGTACTTGCTCTTTTGCTTCACAATGGTTTGATGTATATTATTTAATTCTCAATGCTGCAGTCTCACATGTTGATCAGAGATGTGTGTTGGGCGCTTTTGGGGGAGCCCCAGAGTATTTTTAGATTTCAAATTGGGTCACGGTATTCTTAAATTTTAAATGCCTGTATTAGCATTTTACATAACCAATGGATGGATTACAACTCAAATATAAATGAATGAAAATATGTCATAATGTCCATTCTTTTTGTTTTAAACAAAAGGCTGTGATAGCAGTCATTTAGTGTATTTTTCATGGCTACAGGTTTTTAATGACAAAATATGTCCACCTTAGAGATACGATCATGGGATAAATACCTCCTTTATTACATTTTCATGGGAAACTGTTTGTTTTATAATGAATGGCTTCCCCTGCTTAGCCCCAACTGTGATCAGCTTATCTACCGGCCTTAATCTCAATATGCACAGTCCTCAGCTGGGCTGTGAGGGCGAGAAAATATAATCCATCAGAAAAACCTCAGCAACCACAGTTAACCTTAACAGTTTCAAACGTTGGTGTTTCTCTTTTCCTTGTGAGGAGAGGACAACGACTGCAGTATGAGGAGCAAAATAAACATTCTACAAGTCCACACTTAAGCTTTCATGTTCAACAAATCAGCCGTAATCACATTAAACACAGGGTCATCTTGTACACATATTGTCCCTTTAGTGTAGATTACAGACAATAACTGATGGAATTTGGGGAATTAAACAAAAGCATATCCTAGACTGTTATGTCACCGTGCTCTGTTGTTAACATGCTGCATGTGGTTTTGGTGGCTTGTAATCCAGATGTCAGCAGCTGGGTTTATATTCTGGTGGAAGAGACGAGGATTTATGTGATGAGGAACCTCATCAGCGCAGCCACACGCCCAGACGCAAAAAAATATGACCGCACAGGAAGGCTGGCTCTCCTCTCCCAGCGGCCCTCCCTCTCGCTGATCGTAGCCCAGTGGCCTAGATAGTTTGAGCTTCCATCTGTGGATACGATTCCTGTGCGGATGTTCAGAAAGCTGGCTTTGCTGGATCATTTTCTCTCACTGAAAAGTGTGTGTGGGATATTATTTTCCATTTAACCTGTGATACTAACGTAGTCTCTGTTTTTAATGTTTAAGGATTGTTCAGACTTTAAATCAGTTTACAGTTTGTATTTAGAGAACAAATTCAAAAGTACATAAATGGAGTCAAATCAGTATTAACAATTCTGTCCATTTTATTCTTGCAAATCATAGTTGTAGTACTTTACAGTTGTTTTCATACACCAAGGATATAGTACATCTTTATTGTTTTTAAATCTAAAATGAAAGACATGGAAGCAGATTCTATAGGATGTCGATGTTTTAGCTCGGCTGTTTGAACAACTTATTCCCAGATATGACTCATAGATGGTTCTATTTTAATCCAAAATTTAGTGTTTTTGTAAATTGTACTTCTTTGTCTCTCTTTGTGTTTCCGTCTGTTACTTTGTGTTTTTTGCTGCTGCCTGTCTCGGCCAGGTCTCCCTTAAAAAAGAAGGTTTTTAATGTCAATGGGACCAACCTGGTTAAATAAAGGTTAAATAAATAAATTATTCTGTACTTTTATATTTATATAGCTTGTTTTTTAACAGGAGCACGGCTTTTCACTGAGTTTATGTACATCATTTATGCTATTTTTCTTTATCCTCATGCAATAAGGACAAATTCTGTGTTATTGCAAAACACCCTGATTTAACCTCTGCAAGTGCAAAATTCATGCATTTTGTAAAAAGATTCCTTTTGGCTCCACTGTCCGCTACATGCAGACTTGAACTCTTGATCTCACCGGTGCTGGGAGATGGTTCATTCCTGGTTGGTGTTTTTTAACTTAATTTTTAACTTCTCAAGGCACACATTTACACACACATCCACAGAGTCCCCCTCTGTGCTCAACCAGGGGGGGTAAGCAACCTGGTGCACTATATAAACAGTTCTTTGAGCAGTAATTCCTGTCCTCTTTCCAACAGGAGCTTTATGTTTTTTTTTTCCCTCTACTCTCATTTCTGGGCCTAAAATCAGGTTAGCGTTTTATAAGGAGCTTAGCGCAGAGGGCCACAGTGTGCCACTAATGTAATAAAGTATCTCTCTCTCCACCACTCTCGCTCTCTCTCTCTCTCTCTCTCTCTCTCGTTCTCTTCTGTCCTCTTTTCTCTTCGTGCATTTGCTTACCCTGTGGTGGAGTGTCCTTCTCTCTCTCCTTCTCTGCCTCTCTCTCTCTCTCTCTCTTTCTGTTTTTTTTTTTTTCTCTTTCTGTCTTCTTCCACTTCACCTCGCTCCCCTCCCCTCTGCATCTCCCTCCGTTTGCAGATGTGCACGACGCACGCCTTTAGGTTTAGACATTAAGACGGTGACACAGCCGGGACGAGACAGGGGGAGGACAAGGAGAGAAGGACAAAAGAGGAGGAAGAGAAAAGCGGAGGGACTGCAAATCAAACCTCGGGTAAGTTCACTCTCTGTGTGTTCTCACAGGTTTTCACACTGAGAGAAGAAGTACTTTCATCTGTGAATGTCAGGTGATTTGAATTCAGCAGTACATGTGATGGGAAGTTTGTGCTTTAAGCTGTTTTTTCTGGATTATGGTGATGTGAAATCTTGCAAGGATTCTCTCTGCAATGTTAATAATCCACCAGATTATCCTCTGTTTCTGCTGGGGACTATAGCTTCTCCATGCATGACAAACCTCAAAGATATGGCCTGATGTGTGATCAGTGTAAACCCAAGCTGAAATGTGTGTAGAGTCTAGAGGGCTCACATGTTGTATAAGAACAATTTGACACGACGCACGTGTGTTTTTTTTTTGCATCTTCCACCTAACAGAGTGCGCATGTATCCGGTGATATGAAGGGTGCGTGTGGACTTTGCATGTTTATCCCTAACCTGACACATCTCGTCTTATCAGGCGCACACACTTTACAGGATCTTGCTGTTGACAGCAGTTCCCAGGCTACACAAAAAAACAAACAGGTGTTTCTCAAACAGAACATTAGCTCCAAGGCAGGCTGCAAAGAAAAGTCTGTGAAACAATAGAAAACAAGCAGCTCATTCTGATGTTTGTCAATCAAGTGTTGCACAAGTTAAGCTGTCTGAAGCAGGATTTTACTTAACACAATAGAAATCTTTACCCAAGCTGCTTTGTGACAGCGTTATATTTATTGTGCAATATATATTCTTGAGGAATATGTGATTTCTTCTATTTATTCTGCAACATTTGCTCTTGTAAAAGCTTCTGGATTATATTTTGTCCATCATAAAGACTTTGTTTTCTCAGTACGCCCCACCTAGCTACCACAAGGGCTTGTACTGTTCCTAGCAATGCCAATAAACCTTTGAACCTTAAGTCTGTTGTCACATCTTCAGGCCCTCACTCCAGTGCATTGACTGCATATGCATGCCTTGCCGGAGAACATACAACTTGCTTATATTTACGCCACATGAGAACGCCTGGAGCATGTGACAACAACTTCTAAATTCTGTATGCCTGAGGCTCTTGTTCTTTACACATTTCCCCGTCTGTTCTGCACTTGTTTAAGGCATCAGACTGATGGCGTCCTTCTCTGGAGATGCAGATGGGAGCACTGAGGACGTTCCAGGTGAGATTATATGCAGCCATGTATTTTTCTAAAACAGTGGTCTTGTGAGGAGAAGGTGAATCTTTGTTAAAAATGCTACCAGGAGCTATCAACACAAGGGGTTAATTAGCATGACATTTAAACACGTGACCAAGGACTGTTTATGGTCAACAATAGATCCTAATCTACAACACCGCAGTTGATATGCGTCTGATTTAGATAATGAGAAAAATGTACAGGCTGTGGAGAGTACTTAGTGCGTTCTGCACGTGTCTTCATGTGACCTCGATACGTCTCCCTCTCATTTCTATGTAAAGGACGTAAAAAGTCCAAGCTCAAGTCTCTGAAAACCCGCCTCTTCGGGAGGGGTAAGAGAGGAAGTGCGAAGAAAATAC